TGCAAAAAAAAAAAAAAAAAAAAAAAAAAAGGAGGAGAATAGGGAAGAATCTGAACTGGAGGATAGCATCATTGCTGTAGCTCATGCCTCTGTGCCTTTTGTGGGTTACTGTTAGAGTTTCTGCAATCAGAAAGCAGAAGAAAGTTTGGAGTGATTGCATGGATCTATATACAGCAGTACCTCTGGGTTTCAATTTATACTCAAAATGTATGGTGTTTAGGGGCACTACATTATAAGAGTGTTGTATTGGTGTGCTTCCCCTCAGTGAATGTCATCCCTTCTTTCCTATGAAAAATGGTGTTTGGGAGATCTGCGTGCTAGTCCCTGCACTTTCTCTATGCTTAGTAACGGCATGGAAGAAAGATGCCCAAATAGCTGTGGGGCATGTAATAATCCTGGATAACCATGTAGTACTCGGAGACAAAATTAATCTGCGGATTCATGATGTATCTAGTGGAAATATTGTAATCTAACGAGCAGTTTAAGGTTTTCCTTGGAGAGCCTGTTGATGTAATTGAATAGTGCTTACACTTGAATAGTAGATAGCGTGTAAGTAGAAAAGGCAAGGGGTGGTGAGGGAAAGCAAGACAGAAACTTGCATGCTCCCTGAGGTGTTAAAAAAAAAAAAAAGGCATTTGGAGAGTCAGATGAGGAACATTTCAAAACTCATCTTCATTTTCTTCAGCACTGGTTACAGGAAGGGAGTTTCCATCCATCCTAAGGGCTTGTTTGGGTAAGTGTGGTCTATTTTTTAAGGATTAGGAGGATTTAGGTGCTTGGAAGTTGTGTTGTTACACATTATTTTGATTAAATGGAAACATTCGGACTTGATTAAATTAGTTTATCTGGAGCTGTTCAAGGTTGTTTGAATATCTTGAAAACAAATTAGATGATGTAATTACACGGACAAACTGTATATCAGTGGTTTTCTAGCTTCTTTGCTGATGATTTCATGCCCTATTCTTGTGTTTCCAACCCGTAGCCATGGCAGCTTTAACAGGATTCACGTTGCAAATGTTCCTTTTCTGTGCATTCTGCCTTTCAGAGACTACCTGTCGGGGCACCTTGATGCACCTTCTCTGCTTGGCTCATTTTGAGCAGCGATACCCACTAAGCTGTGCCAGGCTGGGGAGAATTAAGGCCTTTGGATGCCAGGGATATCAAAACTTATTATTACCAATTAATTGCCCAAGGATGATAAGAATGCTTAAAATGTCTGTAATTCCTTAAACCTGTCTCTACATTTCTAAAGGATGAATGTTCATTTCTATTAAGAAATTGTTAAATTTGTTCAGTTGTATGTTGGCTGATCCTTAAGAGGCCGTTGAGTGACTTGGTTTACAGCAGATCTGAATGAAGAATTTGTTGCCTTTCTTAGGTCCATTAATGCTTTCTTTGTTTTGTTTGTAAGATACCGGCATGTGAACTGAAATTTCTTCTCATCTTGTGCAGACCTATCTCCACATTTTTATCAGGGTCTGAGCAGCTAGAGGATTTCACACCATAATGGATATTTTTATTTCCTTTTTTTTTTTTTTTTTTTTTTTCCTTTTCAGAGGAAATGGCAACAGCCCAGTGAGAACCAGGCTCCAGTGCACCCTTTGTCTGAATACCAGTTGTGAACATATGTGCAAACCCAGTGTCTTCTAATGGTGTCTCCCAGCACATGGGTCTGGGGTTCGTCAGGAGTATGCCCTATGCCTCTGGCAGTGTTCAGCCATTATGTTTGTTTAAGTTCTTTAACCTCAACGACAAAACAAAACAAAGCAAAAAACTTTCATCAGAAGTTGAGCTGTTCAAACATACCCTGGCTTTATATCCTGTTCCTATCTTAAGTGGTCCTTTCCCCGGGGCTCTTTGGTCTTTGTTAACCTGAGATTCCCAGAGCCTTGTCAAGGAAAAGTAGCGTTTCCTTTCTCTGGCTTTTTGGAGGCTTACTCTCCTTCAGCTCACTTTTCTCAAATGGTCTTTGTGTAATTCCAGCTCTTGTGAAGTTGTGTGCCTGTGATTTCCAGCGCTGGTGTCATAATCAAAAGTAGCCGTTTCTCCTGGCCATAAAAACTATCTGAGGAAGCATCGCAGTTAGTGGGTGTATGTGCTGATTATGCCTATTTAAAATTATTAGGTATTTTATTCGAACATGTTTCATTCTTCTCTTTTTTTTTTTTAAAGTTCTCATAATATTTGCCATTTGAGATTATCAAGTTTTCAGTTAGCGTGGCAATCACATCCTATTTGTTTTTACATGGCTGAGTATAACTTAGAATTGTATATTTCAGAATTTTTAATTTTTTTATTACAGAATTTTAAATTCTTAGAGTAGTTTTAATGTATTCTTGTATAAAGTTAATTTCTCGTACATTGGGCCAGACCTCAAGAGATGTCGACTAAGTGATTTGTACCATGTGATAAATCAGTTGACTGAGTGATTTGCACCACGTGATAATGTGGGCAGCTTGGAATTTTTATTTTCTGCCATATGTAAATACTGAGAAATTAAACATTCTTCATTATTTACATCATGCTAGACCTTTCAGAGGCGTTTGTTCGCACTTATTTGCACAAGTTATTTGTGTGAGTATCCAGAGCAAGTAGTTATGAAAAGGGACATGAATGAACTCTTTTCTATTGGTATTTTCCTTGCCAGTATTTTTAAAACAAACTTTTGTTTGCTTGAAAGCCAAGCTTTTCACGTGCCTATTCACTGCTCGGCAGGCTCCTGCAGGAGAGGAGAGCCTGGAGAGTGCTCAGTAAATGCAGAGATACCCATGCAACATGGCCTTCCAGACACCAACTGCCTTATAGAAACAGGAGCTCGGAAGAAAGTAATTTATTCTGATGGAAATACTGGGTATATTTACATTGTTGAAAAGCTGTATTTTGCATGTTACCTTGTTGCCTCAAGGCTGGAGAGGGCAGGAAGAAAATCTATGGGATAGGCTTCTTGCACTCAAAGAATTCCTCAGTGAGATTATTTCCGTTTGCCTTTGTTTCACTGTACTTCTTCCAAACACCAAATTGCCATCCCCTTAACGCTACTTTACACTATTTAATTGTACAATGTTACTTTTGCAGGAAAACCACCTTAGCTTTCAACCTTGCTCAAGCAGATCTTTACACGTGCCTAAATTTCTTTGTATGTTGTCGCCATTGCAGTAAACCTGCTCATTTGTGTCTGCTCAGGGAGAAATGGTATGAGAGAGAGGGATAGCTGCCATACATTGATTACTGCTGTGATCAAAAATCCTTCATTTTTGCCCTGAAGTAACAGCCATTCTGTAAGGATGTCTTTTATACAGTCAGATAAAGTCCCAACAGCTTTGGGACCCAAAAAGTGAGGCTGTTGTTGGCGTGAACGGTCTTCCAAAGTCAATTAGGACTTTTAGTTAGCACAGTGCTACAGCTTGAACTACTTTCAGTCAGTTTATATGAAATGAAAATATAAGATAAGATGGGGAAAAATATTAAATATACATTTGCAGAACAGAGTGGAAAAACAATTCTGGCTGTTTACATTTGTGTGTGGACCTCTCTGGTGATGAGGCAGCACCGTTCCGGACCCTGCCAATATAATGTGAGGGTGCTCTGTGACGAGCTGGGCTGGTTGTGCTGTTTCTTGAGCACTCTTCCTGGGCCAAGCAAATTATGCAGCTGGGTTGGAACTCCTTGGGCTGCTGAATGTCCTACTTTTGTCTTCTTGCGACACACAACACACAGGTTCCTTTTCTAATACTGATGTTTTATGGTATTAATAATAGCAATAGGCTGAGGTTGTCCAGAGATTACATCACTTGGAATAACAAGCACTAGGTTCCTAATTACCTTGCATTATCTACAGTTCCTCATTTTTCTTGTAATTCAATATAGACTGAGCAATACCAATACAGAAAAATTCCATAATTGTTGCAAAGTCCTTATTTATTTATTTTTACAGTCAGAATCTTATCTTAAAGCTGACAAATGGATACTGTATGCTATTTCTCAAAAAAATCTTGGATTTCTGAACAAATGACCTTAGTTTGTGTCAAACAAAAACTTACACTATTTCTCCTGTTGTTTTTACATCATTTAGTTCTTGAAAATGTTGACAGCTCAACTGGATTATGGGTGATTGTAAAGTCCCACATCCTATTTTTAGAAAGTGACGAATCATTCCTATTATTCTTGTTTGTATCTCTGAGTTAAGGAATATTTTTCATTCAATGTTGACATTTTTCATGTTTCATCTGATAATTTATATTGCTGTAAATGTGCAAGTACTAGCTGGTGCAGAATTACCCTTGCCTTTATATTGGAGTTAAAGTATTTTAATACTTTGGGATTTGTCTCTGAAATCGTTTGAGTAGAATCTCTCGACATTTTTATGATCTTCCTGGGTGGGGATACAAATTAGCTTCTTTTATCTGAGAGATAAATGTTAAGCAAAAATCTAGATAAGATTCAATGAGGTATGTTTTTCCAGAGAACAGCCAAGGCTTACAGTGAAAATATAAAATTTGTCCCCGGTACTGTCTACTTTCTGGTGAGTTTTTCCCCGGTCTTCCAGGGAAGTGTAGGTGGCCCAAGATTTTCAGAAATGGGAGGCTGATTAAATAAGAACACCTACACCGAAGTGTGAACAAGAGATGCAGCCAGGCACCATATTAATTTAGCATCTTGCTTAATAGCATAATGAACTAAAATAGCTGGGATTTCTAAGGGAAATGTTTCTGTTTGCCATGTTTGTCATGGAAAGAAGATGCAAACCAGGCAGAGGTCAAAAGGAAGGTTTGTCATGGCGAGAAAATGTGAACCAGGCAGAGAACACAAAGAGGGAGAGGGAAGTGGTTCTACCACAAGGCAATTAAGAGTGCATGTCAGATGGGTAGTTATTCTTCAGATGTCAGAACAAAGGGCCCCAGCCCTATTCCTTTCCTCCTCGACTTCAGTGTGATATGTGATCAGATAATACTAAAGCTAAAGTCATTAAGGAATTTTTTTTTTTTCTGTTTTCATTTCAGTTATTTGCCACCTTCCATGCATGAATGGAGGCCAATGCAGTTCTAGAGATAAATGCCAGTGCCCTCCTAATTACACCGGTAAACTTTGTCAGATCCCTGTGCAGACTGCCAATACTCCAAAACTGTACCATCACCCACAACAGGTGAACAAGGCTGTAGGATCGCAAATTATCCACTCTACTCATACTTTACCACTGACGATGTCAGGACAGCAAGGTGTAAAAGGTAACTTTTTTCTTGATCAGTATTTTTTTCCTTTGGAGTTGATTTTATTAACTAATTTGGGGTATCCAACCAGTAACAAGAGCGATCTGTCTACGTAGTTTGAACCTTGACACCGCAACTTGAATCATGAGCTCACCAGAAGGAATGGAAAGTATTTTGCTCAATGACTAAAATAATAAGAAATAATATCGCTATTGAAAAGAGCTTATAAGTAAATTTACTTCGCTTTATGGTGGAATTTAATGCAGATTGCAGAGTCAAAGGATAATTCAGGGGGCTTCTTCCAGGAGTGTAGACCTGTTCAGAAAAGAGAATGACTGAGGCTGAACAGAGTCCATAAATTGCAGTACACATAGATAGAAAGTTGCAGGTGAGTCCATGGTTACTAGTGGGGGGAGGAGACAGGGCTTTTCAACATAACAAAATTTAAATCCGATGTAAAGCTAAAAATATGTTTATCTTTGTAGTGTCATTTGGTGGAGTCCTGTAAGTTAATTTTGTGGTGAACTTTTTAATGTAGACAGGCTAGTTATATGACCTGGAAAGAATGTTCTATTTAACAATATAGTAGAAAAAAAGGTAAGGATTTCCTGCTGCTAGTGTGGTGAAGAAGGCAGAGGATCAGAAACAAGAAAAGCTGTGAAGCTAATCAAATCTTGCCCAGTCAAAGAAAGTTAGTCAGCTTCAGGTTTCCATTTCCCCTAATACTTGTTTGTGAGGTGACAACTTCTGATGACCTTGAAGAGGACCGTTGAATTTGTTTCCTGTGTGTCCTATGACTCTAGGTAGCATTTTATCTGGGTGAGCTCCTGTCCTTACGGAGAGACCCCTGCAGTTCAGTTTCACAACATGAATTAGTGTGAAATTTGTTTGTTTGAATACCCAGATGGATTTTTTTTTTCTTCACTCGTCAAGTGTAATTTTACAATTACCTCTCCAAGACTGCTACCTTAAAATAAAAAAAAAAAAATGGGAAAAGATGTGAGGAGGTTCAGTTATTGGCAACTAGTTCCTGAATAACTTTGCTAAAAGAGGCCAAACTAGTTATATGTTTGTGATAAATATAATCTAACATAGTAATTCTGTTTTCAGACAGGGACATAGCTGTGAAGGAAGTGTTGACAGTATCCTTCTGGAAACACAATATTTTATAAATGCTTTTAAGTATCTGCTCCATCTTTTCAATGGATTTGTTCTCTAGAGACTGCTACCCAGTCCATAAGGAAATAGTTTCCACTGACATGTTGGAGTATTAGTCCCTAAAGCTCCCCAGAACTTTTCTGACTCAAAAAAAAAAAGGGGGGGGGGGGGGGGGGAGTGAGAGGGGATTTCTGTGACTGTTTAATTACAGATCAAATTATTTTAGACAATATGGTGGACCATAATAAAAAATTTTAAGATAATAGCTGTTCTTTGGATTTAGAGTTGCTGTCTTAAAAGACATGATAGGTTTCTCATTGCTAAAGAGTCTGACATCTTGAATATTTTTTTTCCTGATCATCCTCATCAGAGCCATCAGCAGTCACAATGCCTTTTCTTCCCTTTCCATGCCCAAATGAGAATGTTGGATTGTGGAGAGAGGAATGTTTCATTTCTTTCCAGGAAAGAATAAAACAATTCATCCTGAAATGGCTGGCAGAAATAAAAATTAATCAGCACATCTAGGCAGTGATCCAAGACCTGGAGAGGATTGTGGTGATAATACTACATGGGAGGAACCAGCCTAAATTTGATATTTTCAACATCGGAATATCTCTAGGTGGATTGATAGAGTAATGCAGAACAATTCAATGATATCTTTTGAAGGCTAACATATTCTTTAGATTTACCAGCTGGAGAAACTAGTTGAAGGGATGCTTATTCATATATAAAAATGTATGATAAGTTGGGGCAATTTTTATTCTTTTCACAGTCAGGCTATGTTGTCTTGTCTTGCCCTGCAAAACCAGTCTTATAGCCTAAGAAGGGCCTTACTGCTTCTCCTTGTAATACTGAATCTTTTCCACGTGAGTTTACCTGTAACAGAACTCATGTAGCATAAATTTTGCTTGAAGGTGTTTTTTTGCTACAGGCGATATCTGAAGAGTCATTAAGGCCCTGCAGCTGTATTTTGCTGACTTCATGCTACCTTATTCCTGATGTTTCCGTCTGCAATATGTTGAAGATTTTCATAAATGAAACAGTGCAGGACAGAGTAAAAATAAGTTTGTTTCTTTTAAGGAATTTCTATGTGAGGCCAATTAATACTGAAAATGTGTCTAGAGAAATGAAAAAAAATGTGAAAAAACAAAAGTAATTTCTACAAAACACTAAAATTTTAAAGCAGCTAAAATAAATGAAATACGCTTCCTGGGAAGTGGAGCCGAGATTGAAATTTGTAGATAAGAATTGAAAATGCCTAATCCAAGTTCCAAAGAACAGTCTGGCCTCCTGGAGGCAAGGAAACAGTTGAGAAGACTCAACAATCCAGTATGCATTATAGAGAAAGTATGTTAAATTATGTTTGTTGGTTCTTGACGTTTGGAAGGGGTGTTACATCTAAAGGATTGGCTGGCCTCAGATAGTCTGTGCAGTACGTGCTGATGAGAGAGACCCAGCCAGACACAGTAAATGCGAACTTTGTTATGTAGCTTACAAGCTATACAACTTTTTGCACACATCTCTTCCCTGCCCCTCCCCAATAATGATTTGAGTTATATGTTTAAAGGGCGTTTTGTGTTTCAATGAAAAGAAGCTTGAGGGTCATAAACACTTCTGTGCACATTAAGTTGACTGGAGGGTCTCAGTCTGTACACCCAGACTTAAAGCTACAACTGTATTTAAAAATGGAAGTATCTGAAAAACATTTCCTCCCTCTTTATCTGCCAAATCCTGAATTCATAGTTCAGTGAAGGGAGTGGTGGTTTTAGATGGTTGAGATGCTGGCAAGCATTGCAGGGGCAAACTCAGGACTTGGCAGGTATATAAAGGTGAAGGGATGAAATCTGAAGCTTTTTCTGTGTTCCAGAGAAAGATGATGGATCTGAAAAAGAAAATAAAGCTTACTATATATCCAAAAATAACCCAGTGGAGTTTGAATTCTGGAACTTTGAATGGGATTCTTATTACACACTATGACCACAAATATTAATGTCACACCGGCCAATTTGGACATCCATGTTTATTTAGCAGTCTTTACAATGCTATAATGTCGTTCTTTCCTGTGTGAAGAGTTTTCATTTTCTGCTTTGTAAATGAGACTCTCTGCGTTCTTTCAAGTTTCTGTCTAACCCCAAAATTTGGGCTTTTTCTATATTTTGGTCACTTCAAGGCACTCTATAAAATTCTAACGTACAAAAAGGAGGTGTCTTAGAGGTGCCCATCATCTCTTTTTTGACATATTTTATTACCAATTTCTTTAATGTGTTTTTCCTTCAATTATTTTAGTGAAGTTCCCTCCTAACATAGTGAATATCCATGTGAAACATCCCCCTGAAGCTTCAGTTCAGATCCATCAAGTTTCAAGAATTGACAGCACATCAACAGGACAAAAAGCGAAAGTACCTCAGCCAGGACATCCACAGGTCTCTTACCAAGGTCTTCCGTATCAGAAGACCCAGAAAGGACATACTGCTTACACAAATCAACAACCCATTCCTCATATGTTTCCTGTTTCAGTTAAAACTCAGCTTGGACGCTGCTTCCAGGAGACTATTGGGACACAGGTAAGAAATGTTTACTAAGGGTTATGAGATAGGTAGCTTTAAAACAATATCATAACAGAATGAAAAAATTTTCACTAATCTCAGGGAAAGGATGCATTTGATTTTTTCCAAAAGAAAACTCTTGTGAGAATGGACTGTAAAATGTTTTACAAAGTAACATTTTTCTGAACCTCCTTCTCCTTCGAGCTAATGCTGTAACTTCTCCATTTATAAGCTATTTCTCCAAATTAAAAAACGTGACTTAAATCCTAGTTTCATCTCTCCTGAGTGAACAACTAAGGTTACACCATCTTCCACAGCTTGTACTGTCTTTCAGTTTAATGAGTCTTTTTGCATGTGTACCTCAACAGCCAGTAATTTTCAAGGAGTTGTAGTTTTCATTGAAATTCCTATTCAACAACTTCATGTGTTTCACAGTATTTTAGGCTACTGTTTTGAATCTGTTGAAGTGTGATCACTGAATGGGGTAGAAAAATCATGAAAGATTATTGAGTGTTTGCTAGAGCATTAAAACATTAGTTCGGTTTAAAATAATATGTTCACATCAGTTTTTACATATGACTGTTCAAAATTGCATATCTTATTCTTTCAGCTCTTAAAATATCTTTTAAGTGACACAGCATTATCATTTTTGCATATTTGCATATATACGTAAATTTACAGAAAGAGGAAAAAAGCATATGTAAAGAGATTGTAAAAAAAGTGAGTAAGACCCTGTTTATTGCTTATCACCTTGCCAAAATTTAACTTTTCAGATTTTTTTTTTTTTTATGCTGAATGCATGCCTCAGTCTGAAATTTTGTGGGAGATTTCAGAAAAATCACTTGCTTATTTTGAGGGATGATGTTAGAGAAGGAATTTGTGGCTTTACTCAGGCTAAAAAAAATAATTTATGACTGTTTCAATGAAGATTTGGATCATCTGTATGCTTTGAAGTAGAAACTTAAACTTATCACAAAGGCCACTCTGCTTTTGGTCCTCCCAGTAACATGCACCCAAAATTAGCCAATTTTCAAGCATCTAAAAATATATCTGTTTCTAATGCATTTCACAATCATTTGTTAGATGTTGGGAGCAAAATTCTCAAAAGATCTCACCTGCACAGAGCATGGTATGCCTTCCCCCCAAAGGGACAGCACCCATCATCCCTGAATGCAGGACAGGAGCTAAATGTCCTTTAGAAGTGTTTCTTCTAGCTGTCAGCGAAGGCTGAGAAGGAAGCGTTAGAACTGACGGCAAGGATATTTTCTCATGGCTCCTAAGCAGTGCGCGTGCACACGCACAAAAGGAAAGATACCTCACTCACACAAGGGTAAGGAGCTTTGGAGAGGATCAGCGATGGGAAACAGGCAGGAGCAGAACCAGGATGCAGGCAGAAGCAGGGTGAGGGTAACACAGGTGGCAGGTCCCAAGGTAGTGAGAGCAATTAATTACCTTCTGGAACCTCACACTGTGAAATCACAGTTCCTTCTTCTCAGTCATCCTCTGCCAGCTCCAAAGAACTGACATTTTTCCTGTAAAATATTTTTCTCTTTTCCTTTCAGTGACTGGCTTCTGCAGAGTATTGTAGCACTCCTACTAGTGACATAATTAACTCTAGTTTCAGAAGTCATTGATGTGGAAATAAAGATCCCAAAACCTGCTCATGCCAGGCCATCATGTGAGGCTGTTTAATTCATTCTGAAAAACGCTATGGAAGAACCCTGCTCCTGCGGGGCGGTTGGCCCTGCTCCTGCGGGGGGGTTGGACTAGGTGACCTCTAGGGGTCCCTTCCAACCCAAAACATTCTATGATTCTATGATTCTAAGTAAATATACATGTCGTCATGCCCCCAAAATGTTTCTAGAAGACCAGAGTCAAGTTTGCCTATGGAACATTAAAGACTAGTATTCACTAATTGTTGAATGCTTGATTTGGGATCTACTGTGTTAATTTATACTGATGAGCTCTTCATGCTGGTCTGTTTTTCAGGAATAGTAAAACCTTGAATTTGTTCCTTGACACGTGTTCAAATGAAAGTTCATGGATTTTACATGACAAAATGGAGCAGGGCCTGTGTCAAACAACCATTTATCTGTATTTCCTAAGAATGTGAGATCTAACAAACATGGTATTATAACGTGCAATCATAAAATGCTGGAAAGAATTATAATAATTAATAGTTGTTTATTATTTATTTGTATTTCTATTTGGACTCATCTGTAGTGGAAGACAAAATCCCTTCCTCAATCTTAGACTTTGCAGTGGATACTGCATCTTTTATCTTTTACCTCTTATGCTTGATGTATTTCCTGTCTGTTCTTTCTGCCACATGCATGAGTGAGGTATTTTGAATGATATATCCAAAACTTGCAGTGTCCTATGCATGCCCCTCACTTTATGGTGGTTTTAAAACTAAAACTTACTCCTCACTCGCCAGAAGACGGTAATGTGTTCCTTTTAAAGGGGGAGAAAAGGGGAAATACCCTTGTGTTGCCCTCATGCCTGACTTGGAATCCTACTAAATGCTCAGTCTCTGATTTTTATAATGCTTTTTTTTCAGTATTCCCCTGAGAAATGTGTCTTTGCAGTGCTCTCAAGAAAGGGTAGTGCCTCCTAGTTTAGAATAATGCATGTTCTCATTTTTTTACAAGTGTCATTGATTCACTGTCAGCTTTGGAGAAGAGCATAGTAAGGATTTCAGAGGCCTTTTGTTATTTAATCTAATGGTTCAATATAGAATTGGAGTTGTACAGTGGCATTTTGAAGAGCATTCTTTTAAGACCTTGCCATAATTACAGATTTAAGCGACTCATTCACCTTTCAGATTTGAACCTGAAATGTCAATGTGTTTTTCCTGCAGTCAGGTAATGAATATTATTTATTTGTGTGTTAAATAGACCTTGAACTGGGAAAGACATTTAATTTTTTTAAACTTTTAGATAGATCTATTCTAAAATAATTTGATTTTCTGTTTCTTTGATATTTGCTTTGCTAAATATGAGGGTTCTCTTTATTTGTTCAGATGAGCTGCTAAACTGAGCTTTCCCAATTAGCAGCAATGTGTTACAAGTCCTTTCTGGAGTTTATGCTGGATAATTTTGATATCTGTACTTTTTTTCAACAGTCATCAGTGTTTATACATTTTTTTTGCAGGGTGGGTTGTATATTTGGCTTCAGAAATGTTTTATTAAATATCGTGGGATCACAGGTGACTTTACTGTCTCTAGAGCAGATTGATGGAAGGATATGTGTGTGGCCCCTTGTAGGCATATCAACCAATTAATAAAGACTTTGCTGAACTGTGCTAAAAGCACAGGACCAAACCAGTATCAGAATCTCTACTGTGGTTTTGTGTGTGTGTAAACTCTACCATTCTATGTTTCTCTCCATCTCTTGTTCTCTTCTTCTTCCTTGAATTTCAGCTGGTCTTCACTTACAGATCCTCTGATTTTAATGTTTTGGTTTTTTCACAACCTTCTGTGGAATATTTTTCATTTCCCAACACATTCTTCCTCACCCCACCTTAGTTAAATTCCTTTAATGTATCTCATTCAAAAACAGTAGGATAATTGCTATACTCAAATCCCAAGATAGCCAGGGCGTATTTTCTGCAGTGTATTTCCATCAGAGCGCATACTGTTAAAGTTAGCGACTGGAGCCACCCTGAACTGAAGCTTGGAGGACATTATGGTACAGATAGTTGGAGAACCTGGTCCTTTTCTCAGGCTCCCTATCACTCCTAATTAACAACATAGAAATTCTCCTAGACTTCCTATTCGCTTAGTTGTTTATAGTATCATAAGTGACTGTAACCAAAGGCAGCAACCATGGGAAAAGTGTAGTAAAAGATGTGTGAAAAGGTGTCAGTCTACAAGCTTAGAAGGATGGAAAGACAGGAGGAGAGAGAGAGAGGGGCTAGAGGAATGAAATTTCCTAGTTTAATTAGAATAAATAAAGATGTATGTTTTCATAAATACATATACACATGTATGTATGTGTTGCTTAATTGTGACTGTGTCCTCAGCACTGAGACATAAAGTGGAAAGAGCACGTATAAAAGTAGTATTAATATTTCAATTTTTTAAAAGTAATATAGGAAGCAAAGGGTGTTCTGGATGGTTCTCTTCTACTCAAGTCAATTTACTTTTCCTGGCTGCCTTTCTTTTCTGTGAGTGGAACACTTAGCAATTATTTCTCCTCTGGGAGATGTTAACGATGATTACTTACCATGTTACATGATAGCTTACTATGATATGTCACACACAAAAGTTGTGGTTCCTCAAATGCTTTCCTAATACCAAAAAGATTTTTTGCACAGTGTTATCATAAACTAGCAGTTAAGCTGCAGGCCAGAAACTTATTGTTGTCATAAAAATGTAGGAAACAAACCTTTACCTAAACTTGCACCTTGTTATATAGCAAACGATGTTGAGAAAATAGAGACTTGACATAGGGAAACAGATACAATGGAAGCAGCAGGGCAAAAATCCCACTTAAGATGGAGAACAGTAGATTTGTGGAGAGCTGTGTGTTACAGTGCCTGCAAAGGCTGGAGACTGGATGTGTTGTCCTGCAAGGTCATTTACAGCCGTGTAGTCCTATATTTCTGAAATCCAAGGAGTTCGTCATCTTAGACCACTGATTCTCTAAGTCTTATTTAAAAAGCAAGCAAATACGGAAGATTATTTTTCTCTTCTTTCATTTCTCCTCTTCAGCTGCTTTTCATTTTAATTCTAATAAAAATGCCTTTATTATGACATAGAATATCTTGTTATTTCCCAAAATACTTCTACAGTGTCAGTGGTGCACCTAGTAAAGATTGTGCTGGTAATCTCGAGTACTGTTAATTTTGCATATGATCACTTTGCATTTAAATTGAGAAAAGAGTGCAGATGTCTACTATCTGTCAAAGTTCATATAAAGAGAATTAAGTGCCGCTTCCCCCGTGCCCTCCCTCCCCAAGATCACTTTGAAGTGTCTACAAAGTATATTCATGTGTTTTCCTATGGTTACTGCAT